AAATGTTCCTTCTTATTCTACAAAAAATATACCCGTGTAATATTTTCCATTACTGCTTATATTTACATATTATATCTATTATGAAATTAATTTCTCGTTAGAGAATGACCACTATTAACCGCGCCGATAATTAGCTCGATTTTAACAGTTAACGATTTCCATATCTCGGGACTTTGGAATTTTCTCTCTTCCTCTCCTTCTTCCCATTTATTCGATTTCAAGCCCCGCGACTTGTTGCCCTCTCATTCTTCATTCATTTGTTCCATACCTATTCCCAGAGAGCGGATCCGGTCCAATATATTTGGCGAGAGTCGATCGCGAGGGAAGTCGAAAGAAAAAAGTCAAGAGTGGCAAAAGGATAAAGGAGCCCGGCGGTTCGAGAGAACCGCGTCTCCGTCTCTCTCTCACCCCCGACTCGCCGTGTCCTCCCTCTCTCTCTCACCCGGAGGATCGCCGAATCGGATCGTTCTAACGAGCGGATGCCCGCGAATTCCAGCCGGCTTTCGCATAATCAAATTATTCCTGGAACGCACGTTAAGTGAACATGTACCCCCGCGTGACGTCATCCTGCAAAATGCCGAACAATATGTTCCTCCTTTGGGAGATTAATTAAACTCGAGGAGGGACGAGTTTATCCGTATTTTCCCTGCCGCCACGTCACACCCTGGCGTTTTCTTCATCACGACAAATTATCTCCCATGTACCCCGGAACTATTAATTACGTCTAGCCCGAAAGGACGAAGATTTGGGAAACTATGAAAATATGAAAACCGCCCAAGAAAATAACAGCAACCCTTGAAAATCAGAATTATGGATACTGATAACCACGTGCATTATTGGGGATGATGGAGGACTACGATTATATTCCAATAATAAATACTTTTGAAACCGAATCCGAATCGCTATCTTTTTTAGATTACTCTCAACATTCTGTATAGCCTATGACTTGTAAGATTTTTATTTCGAGGTCTTGCGATTATTCTAGCGAGCAGTGCACATTAACACATTCGCGACCGCTGACGTGAATTCACGTCTTTTTAAATTCTATGCCTCATTGCCGCTGACGTGAATCACGCTCCATAACGATACACGATACAAGTTTGCGACAACCAGTTTCAGAATTTCATTATTTTCGCCCGTACTCAGTATTTGAAAGGGAAAAAAGTTTGCCGGTTGCGAATGTGTTAACTGCATATTTTCTAGACGCCCTGCGAGGGGTGATATCATTCCCGAGGTCGATCATTCATCTTGGAACTCCTCTTTTTTCGGGGTCGTAATGTTAATTCGTGACCAGCTGTTAATATCTTTAAGTCAGGGTTGGTACAGCTCGGATGAGGTGTAAAATGTTGGAGCGATTATTCAGTGCCGGCGGGCCAGCTTTGGACCACCGCCGCTGGTAGTTGGATCTGTCAAGGCCAGGTCGTGGAAGTAAGTTTGTCACATCGGTCCTTGACGATAAATAACTAAAAATAGAAGCGCGGGAGGCGGGAAAAAGGAGCACCAAGTCGGAAGGAACGGAAGTCACACGGCGAACATACGTCGGTTCTCTCTGACACCCGAAGAGAAGGACGGACGCACGTGACGCAATTGCAACATCGGGGTACTCTAAGAGACGTACAGAAGTCCCAAAAGATGTTCCCTCTACGAGAGATCCCGAGTTGGAATTATCGATCCCAATCGAACATCTAAATCCCCTACGAGGATGTTGCTTATGAGTCCTCATTTGGAATTCATATCTTCAGGACACAAAAAAACTTAAATATGAAACGAAGTTCAGTACATGCAATGTCTCGATGTTCGTCCGCATAGGTACAGCTAAATGTATCTCACGCATTGCTGATTAACAATTGCAGCATCTGCAGCTAATATTTGAGTCATGGAGCAATGTCATATTTAGCTCACATTTGTGGCATTAACTAACTTCATACAATGTCCGCTAACTAATGTCATGGAATGATGATTATACCTCTCGTTAAATTTTCAGTTCATAAACGTCAGTTATGGCATAACTGGCATATGACTCGAGTATGCGGTAAATATATTGCTACAACCATTTGTGACAAATTCACCGCAAATTTTTCCTCAAATTTATTGTGTAATATGCGTACATATATTGCAGACATTTTATGCAGTAAATTGTCGGCAAATTGTATGTACATCGATTTTCCTCATCATATGATGATCATGAATTTCTATCTGGGCACGTATCTTATGAGGTAAACATTTTCTACGAGTGATGTCACTGCAGCCTCCTTTGTTCGGCGCGGAATTCCGCGAGATGGGCATTAATGCCATATATTGTTATAAATAAATGGAATAAATCACGAGATACAGGGACCACGTGGGTCTCCGCCTCCCGGCTCTCCGGATCGGTCCGAATCGATTCGGCAACAGGTTCGCAAACGCCGATTATATTCGCCGTGTCGAAATTTCGCCGAGAGAGCGACTCTCGCGCAAAGGAGAGAGAGATAGAGAGGGAGGAGGAGAGAAAGGGAGAGAGAGAGAGACTCGCCGATCTTGGGAGACGTTGCCGAGCAGGAGGTTATTCCACTCGACGAACTCACCCACGATCTCGATTCCCGGAATTCGGAGAGGCGATTGCGCTGCAGAAATTCGCACGTTCCGAATTTCCGGACCAATTGGAGAGGCCGGCTTTGCCGATTTCACGAGGAACCTCGGAAACGGGGCTTAAGGTGAAGTGAAACCCCCTTCAAATCAGTCGATTCGAATGCAACACTTTTTTTTTAAGGGTATTAGACCAAACTGCCCGAAACTTTGACACATCACTCCTGATCATCTAAGAATTGTCCTGACACATTCAAAATTTGGATTTTTGGAAAAAATTCTTTAACCTAGCCCAGATCAGAATCAAAAAGGCGTCGAGCACTTATATTTCGATCAATATACAATTATCGAAGGCTCTGATATGAGAAACGAAAGGGTCAGGACAATTTTACGACAATTTAGAACACTCTGGTAATCGATAAACTCGCATTTGAGCGGGATAAAGGCAAAAGAAGTGTTGTATGCGCTTCTATGCCAAAACGATGGGAATACGAGGTCTCGGAGTGAAAATTTAATTGACCTGGAAATCACAGATGGCACAGGGGGTCCGTCTGCAGTCAATTAGGGCCCCAGAAAGCATGAATTCAGAGGATTTCTGGAGTTTTACTTCGATTTCTTGATATTTATTGTACGAAAACGACAGGTGGAGTATGCCATTTGGTACAATACCCGATATAATTCGACACAGCTGTCAATATAAAAACGAGCGTCTGCAACGTAGGCATTTAGAAAAATCTTCTTTATCGACGTCGATCAAGTTCCTCGACGTGTTTCACTTCACCTTAAGGATCGATTATGTACAGTTCGGGTATGAGAGCTCGAGGCTTTATGATTTTTAATCCCCGACTAGGGAGGAATTTCGAAGCCCCCTAGATTATTAAAATATGTATCAAGGGTACGGACTTTTCAGGAAGGAGCTTCGATTTCTGGGCGTTCTTTTAAATTCCTGAGACATGTTCTCCGAGAGAGGGGGGAGAGAATGAGGAGCACAGAGCGGCCCTTGTGTCTTCTGTCTTATCTGCCGCTCTTAGCTCTCGCTATCTCTCGGTTTCTTTTCTTTTTCCTCTTTTTTTTTCCTCTGTAATACTTTTAACGTTTCAATGTTGATTCCAATGTTGATGCGAGAAACTGCGCGATTGCTGACGTCAAACTTGGGTAGTTTCATTATTTCCATTTGAAATGAAGTTCGGCTGGTAATTATCAAGTTCTTGTTATATTTCATACCTGGAACGGTTACTTACCTCTTTAATACCATTCGTTGGTTATATATTTGAACATTCGACGTGGCAACCGTTTGTTTAGAAATGTAGAAATTAAAAAAAGCACGGATGTTCGACAAACTCACATAAAAGTTGAAACGGACGTACGGGAACTGCTATTTGCACACTTTATTCTATTTCTGTAAAGTTTGTTCCTATATTTTTATCGACTGGTTAACAACTCTTAGCTACGCTAGAATGTTTATTTCGTTTGGTTTGTCCTGGCACATCTCGTCTCCTTTGCGTCATTATTTAAACAAAGCCGATGCTCCTTTTTAAGCGCACTCGCGTGGAGACTCGAAGAAGCGCGTTTCTAGGGAGAGAGAAGGACGCAGCTAGCAAACCGCGGGCGTCAGAGAGAGAAAGAGCGGCGATCCGCGCGCCGCCGGGTGGCGAGTCGCGGAACTAGCGGCGCAATGGCCATGAACCATTTTCGCCCCTAGAGTAGCTCGCGAGCCGCGCGCGCGACGTACACAGCACAGACAAAATAAAAGTAAAGCGAGAAAAGGAGAACCGGCCGAGTTCGCTCAGCTCGCTCTTTCTCGAGAGGGCTAGACGCGCCGAACAGTCGGGATAAAAGTGGTCCGATATTTCTCCGGGCCGGCCTAACCGCCGCTTTATTATTCCCTTTACTCGACCGGTTATTTATTAGAAGAGTTAATTAATAGGCCAGCGAGTCTCACGACGCGACAGGAGCGGCTCGTTCTTGGAACCGACGCGCACCTTGCGAACGCTACCGGTCGCTGGTTTTCGGAATCGAAGGACGGTTCCACTTTTAATATTCAATTTACATAACGTAAACGTTAAATTGATAACGAAAGCGCTGATAAGCGAGAGGAAGTGTACAAGGATATTGCAGGTTAAGAATTAAGACAAAGGATGTGATGTCTTCAGTGCGCACCTTGCAGCCACTACCGGTCGACAGTTTCCGGAATAGGAGGGTTGCACTTATGATATTTAATTTACATCATTTAAATTGAATTTGATAAGAAAATCACTAATAAGCGAGAAGTATGAATAAATATTGTACGTTAAAAATTTAAATAAAGGATCTCAAGTCCTCGGTGCGCGTCTTGCAACCGCTACCGGTTGGCAGTTTTCGAAATCGAAGGACTCAACTTCTAATATTTAATTTACATAATTTGAAATGAATTAGATAATGATATCGCTAATAAGCCAGAAGTATAGAAAATATAGTAGGTAAAGAATTATAATAAAAGCTCCGAAGTCTTATATACTTGAGGCTACTATTTGGGAACCTTCAACATCCATTACTAAATTCTAGGATAGCTGCATGTATTTTACAATTAATCGATGTCGTTGTCGGATGATTCGTAACTGGAATCACTGTCGCTTAGATTTTCGAGTTTCTTGGAGAAAGAGTTCCGGAAGGATAGCTGCACGCTGCTACAGTTCAGCGTGAGTTCTAGAAAAAGAGACGGCGATTTTGGCGGAATTTTGACCACGTATTCACTGGATTTTAACCAAGGTCGATCCAGGCCCTAGGGACCTCCTTAACCTTAGCTTACCCTTAATAAATGCGCATTTACTTCCTGAATTTCCCTCGGGATCATCCCGGGGCTCCGGCAAGGTCTTCTTCGGGACGCGAGTCGGGTGGTTCGCTTCCGGGCTGGAAGTTTCTGATGACCTCCTGACCTCGACCTTACGACGAATGTTAATTCGCAAGTTCTCCGAGACCTCCGAGCAAATACAATCCTTTTGCCTTTCCAGCAGCTGCAATGCTTTCCCGTAATCTGGCCCTGAAAATTAACAAGTTAATTCATTCATACGCTTCTTACGGGGCAATAAGGAGAACGTAGTTGTACAATTTTCAGGATATGACGAAACCTTGAAGGATGTTGCGGGTGCACTCTTCGAGTCCATCCAGCTCTCTGGAGCACTCGAAGGATTCTCCATCTCGCCTTCGAATCCGCTTTCCTCTTTTCGCATCATCGTGTCCTGTGTCTTTCTCCCTCTCGCGACTTGCCAGCGCAACTTTTTCCAAAAGCTCCTCCAAAATGTCGTCCTTTTCCTCGGAATTGGCCGAGGATTCCTGCGAGCGATATCGGGCTCGCTGAGATTCGATCAGCGGAATGGGACATTCCGGAAGCTCCAAAGACGTGATCGTCAGGAAGGCTGGTCTCTCGTCGCGAATCTTCTCCAGCCACGATCTGAAAATCGAAAGCCAGCTAACCTTATTTCCTTATTCCCTTACTTCCTTGACTTATCCCATGTTCCTGAAAACTCGAGCAGAAGAGAACAATCCCTAGACTACACAAAATATCAAACAAGATTCGATCCGCCATTTTCATTACATATATATCAAACTCCCATACTTCTGTTACCAATATTAATATTTCGTCATTATTGTCAGTAGTTTCTTCATAACCTCGAACAATAAGACAAGTAAGATAGTCCTACATGATTTACACCAAATCTTTCTATTCAAGTGATATGAAAGCAGCGTCAAAAAGGTCTCGTTTATGAAACTTATGAAACCATGAAAATGCATTCATAGATATTTCAAAAATTTCTTATTAAGAAAAAAAAAATGAAATTTTATGGGTGTCAGGCGCTTCCTTATAGTCTCCATATTCATGGTATAAAGTCTGAGCCGATTTGGTACACCCAGTTCGGAGAAAAGTTTCATTGACCTCTCAGATGCCATTTTCACATCCCCTTAATGAAAATATGTATAGAGACAGGGACACGTCGAACGAGGGGGATTATTTTGTCCTACTTTAAGCTCTGTTTCTGATTTAGAATTAGAAACACGTTTCTATTGCAGAACTTGTGGCGAAACTTTATTTTTCACCCTTTTCTTTCACCGCGACCGCAGTAGCCGGTCTTCGCGGGTTCCGCCATCTTGGATAGAGCGCGGCCAACGAGCGCGTCATTTCCCAGCTTTGGAATCGCCGTGGAACCGATTTCGAACCGCTTTGGGAGCTCGGTTCTACCGCGGAAAGCAAAAGGAGGAATTTAAGGATCGCTTTGGAATCGAAGCGAGGCCGAGGATCGTCGAAAGCGAGTTATAGGCCCTCGTAAAAGCGGCGCGGCTCGAGCCGCGGGGGCTCGTGCCGCGATGAAGTTAACAACACTTTTCACGTTCTTTGAAGCCCTGGTGCCCCGACGTAAAGAGAGCCCTCGGTCGGTAACGACGAGTTTTTAGCGGCACACAGTAACTGGATATGATTGCAGGTCTTGTCGCGGCGAGGAATCGACGTCGCGATGTACAAGCCGCGTTTTCTTGGAGAAACAAGAGCTGCCCTGCCCGACCCTGCTCGATGTAAGGCCAAGCATTGAAATCGCTATAAAGATGGAAGCCTTGCCCCCTTTACGGCCACGTCGGGTCAGCCTAAGAGCAACGAGCCTGGATGACTCAAAGAACAAGGGATCCATCTTCGGGTTCTATCTCCTGGACGTGAACCCTGACCGCCATTTTGGTCCCCAGGGTGCAGAACCGCGAAATTCAAATTCTTGAACACTCTGTAACGGATCAAGATCTTATATTTCGTTACGCGTAGAGAAAATGTTAAAGAAGTAAGGGAAATACTTTAATGACTGTTCGGGGAACGTAGGGGGATATTTATCGTTCAATTTTGAATGACTCCAGGAACCGGGAAATCAAAATTTGTGGGCATTTTAAGGCGTATCGCGATTTGACGTTTCATTGCAGAAAGATGAAAAGAATGTCCTAAAGGAGGGAAGGAAAATATTTTGATATCCTCAGAAATTAGATAGGTGGATGGAGGAATTAATGCTTTTAACTTTTATGGGTTTGCGGACCCGGGAAGTCCAAATTCTTGTGCCCCCTGAGTGCATCGAGAACTCGCGACTTTTTTTTAATTTTTATTGGCGGATGAAAATGAGAAAGAGGCAAGGGAGATATTTTAACTAACTTCTGGAGAAACGTGGAGGGATTTTTTTCTTTTAATTTTGAATCCACCCGGGTCCCTGAAATTACCTGGAAGTTCCCCGTCCCGTAGGTGCGGCGCTCCTTGAAGTGCAGATATGTCGCGTCGAAGCTTCCGTCCTTGAAGCAGGACGTTCCCTCGCACTCCTGGGGTCCTCGAGAGTAAGTCTCCGTATATAAAGTCCCGGCACCTCCTCCGTCAGGAGATGTCTCCTCCCGTAGGAAGCCACCTTGACTAGGACCTCTGGACCACCTTCTCGAGCGCATCCATCATCTCTCCTTAAACTTCAAGGTCGGAAAGAACCTGGTCCCGCCTTCGGTGAACTTCCTCGAGTCCCGTCAGGACCTGGACAGAAATTCAATCCGGTGAACGAATTATTTATAGTCACGCTACATCTATTCTACGTCGAATCGACGTCCGAGCAGATATCCTTCCGACGAAATCACTGGCTCGAGGTGGCTTCCGGCATTTTCGAAGGACCTTGACTCCTTTTTCGGCCTTTTCGTTCAATCGCACGGAATCTTCGGATAATACGATGGACCGTTAGACCCCTTTTTTTGTTCCCCGTCTCCCCCGGCGTTGCGTAAACCTCAAAAACGAGAAGAAAAATCGTAATGGCAAGGGCCGACCCCCCGAAACCGAGCGATCTCTGAAATTCGATAGTTGACGAATTTATCTGCGATCGCCGTTGGCATTACGGCCGATTTGGCGCCGCGAATTAATAGTCAAGGTGTTCTGCAAGAACACCGCGGTGGTCTCAAAGGCTTAAGAGGAAGTGAGTCAGACTCGTCTCGCAGTCGGTCGGGCCGTTCAGAAGCGGGACAGAGAGGGAGGATCAGCCTCCGGCGGGTAGCTGACAGCCATGTGAGCGAAAACTAATCTATCCCACACCTTGGTAGGGGCCAACAAGAGAATTAAAATTCAAAATGGCCTGCTAAACAACGCTTTAACTGGCCCTTACCACCTACGGCCAGATCGGGATGATCCTTCGCAGAAAAAGGCGCCTTCCTCTCTGGACCTCCCTTTAAATTCGGTCGGAAGTAGAATTTTGAAAAATGTTGAAAAAATGTCCACGTTTACAATTGACATTGGAAATTGACCCTGAATTTCTTCTGGAGGAATGCGATGATAATATACGATAATAAAGCAGATGAACCAATCTGTTCTATATTTTGGCGGAGGCCAACAACGGAATTAAAATTCAAAATGGCCGGCTAAACAACGCTTTAACTGGCCCTAAGCACCTATGGCAAGGTCGGGATGATCCTTCGCAGAAAATGGCGCCTTCCTTCCTAGACCTCACTTCAGATTCAGTAAGACATCAGATTTTCGAAAACAGAAAAAAAAATACCCTCAACTTATTATCGACATCACCTTCCGCTTACATTTGATTATTAAAAATTGAAACTGATCGTTTTCATAGGAACGCGATGAAAGGAGACAAAATGGAGATGGTAGCTCGTAGTAGAGAGTTGAATACGAAAAATTCAAATTATCTGGTTTATAATATCGGAAAAGGAAATACATGGATTGTAAGTGGACGAGGAAAGTCAACGCGGATAGTTCATCCCCGCGGCTTCTGCTTTTTCCTTTCCTCTCGTTTTTGCGGTTTTTCTCTGCGGTTCCATCCCGAGTATCGGGTGAGCCTGATTTACCGAGTAACATGAGAGCTCGCCGTGTATTACAAGAGACTCCGTTGACTACTGTACGAGCTCGAGCAATCTTGCCTTGCCTTCCTGACAAACTCTCGAGAAAATTAACCCTACGCAAGAGTACACAACCCCGTTCTTTCGACGAGAATTAAACGCTTATTTTTTTCCGACGAATTTTTTCAAACTTTGCAGCCATGAAAAGTTACGCGAGGCAGAATCTGAGGTATACAGTCATCCCATTGGATCATTTTGAAACGCCCTTCCAGGTCACATTCCGAATTTATCCTGCACCTTCTCCCATCTGCGCAGCACTCAAATTAAAATTGTAAACCTGCTTGAAACCTCTAATTGCAGGCGTGAAATGGGTTTCGAGGTACTAGAAAAATATGTAACTTCTATTCGTGAGGTCCTACTTTAGACCTTAAAAGTCGCAGATTTTCCATTTCTTCTACTTTTAGGCTTAAAGAAGAACTTAATACGTATCGAGTATAACAAAAATAGGAGATGAAGACTAAAACTGGCAGATATTTCCATTATTCCCTACCTTACGTACCTCAAAATCAATTTAACCCTCTCGATATGAAGAGACTGATCGAAAAGCGTCGTACCGATACGATCGCTTTTATTTTCAGGTACCTTCTCACCTGCGGAATAGCTGCAAAATTGCATATCGATTGGATAAAGACAAGCCATCACGGATTCCGTGGAAAGAATTGTGAGCCACTCAAGTCCTTCCCCTGCATTCAATTTTGCAGCAATGCAGCAAGTGAAAAGGTAGCATGCATCACCCACTCGAGGTTAATAACTAAAGTCACCCTTCACCCTCATCGACCGTTTTCTGGCAGGCGACAACAGCTCCTCTTGGCAGAAAAAGGGTTATGGCCCACAATTAGAGGTTCCAAGTAGGATAAGGATTTCGATCCGGGCAGGCCACGGTAGCAAACCCCCCGTGAAGCTTCCACCGATCATCCCGCCCCTTCGGGAGTGCCCGAGATGAAGTTCCTGATCATCCAGCGGAGCCGATATTTCTGCAAGTTCGGAACTTCCCGTACACCTCGGAGCCGATCGGGGTTAGCCCCTCTCTCTCTCCCTCCGCGGCACGCACGACAAGACTCGGTGCAAAAAACCGATTACACGGTCTAAAGTGTGCAATAAAATTTAATGGTTCCCCGCGGAGTCGTTCCCATTTCGGGGCTCCCTTAACGATCGGCCGAGGCGGGATCGCTGGCAAAATTCGCGTCATCGGATCTGCATGGCACAGGGACCGAGACGAGTCGCGGCCTTGACCGTCTTCAGGGCCAGGCCGATCGATGGATCGATCGATCGATCGATCGGTTTGTTTCGAGGCAGCCGGAGCCTCTGCTCGATCGATTTGTTTCGAGGAGATCGGAGATCGCAGCTTCGTTTAAATTCCTCTCGCCGATCTTCGTGGGTGGACCCAGTGGGAGAGAGACGACACTTATGTACACTGCATGTACGCACACATGTAAGCGTACACCTGCATACGAGCGCATCCGTGTGTATGTGCTCGCGCATACATTTGTCTATACATCTAGACACGGACGGGTATATAAAGAGAATTAGAGAGAGAGAGGGGGAAAAAGGGAGAATAGGAGAACAAGGGAACGAGAGAAAGAGGGGCCATCCGCTTCGCGGAATATGTTTACATTAACGGCACGGCCAAAAAGGCCAGGAGAACCGCAAACTGCTTAACGAGTTCTCTCGTCTTCCTCCTTTTCTCTTCTATGCGTGACCAAACTGCATCGTCCACACGCATCGAGATCCCTGTGTGGTACCACGCGTGTGCGCGACGTGCGTGCGAGCGCCTCGAGCGGGTTTTAATTCCTGATGAGTTTCGCGTTGTGTCGTTACGTATGGCGGAGGAACACCGCGAATTAGGGTGGCGGTCGTTAAGCCTGCGGTTTTTCGCCCCTTTTTTTGTATATATATGTACGGCCTCTCTCTCTCTCTCTCGCGCGTCTTTTTCTTTTCTCGTGTTTCGAAAACGTATCTCGAAACGACGCGCCGCGCCGCGTCGGTGGGAACGCCGCTTTCGAGGAGTGATGGATAGTTTCGGATGCTGATTCGAATTTTCAGACATTCCCTGCAACGATGAGAGGCGATTCGTTCAGACTCCGAATGTTGCGATTTATTATCCGGGGATAAAAAAAAGAAAAGGGGACGGGATATCGGAGCGATCTCGGAAGTCGCATTAATTTATGACGCGACGACGCCGATGATAAAACTGTCACTTGGAAGAAAGATGACGAATAATTCCGCGGCATTTTCGATTGTAAATTAGTCCTGAGATCTTTCCGCGAAAACCGCATCGTACGATGGAAAAACGTGACCTTTCCATGAAAAACAAATCGTACGATCGAGTTAAGGATAAAAATGTCATTGGAAGAGCAAACGATATATTGTGGATATCTTTTGGATTTTTATAGTAATTTTCCGATGAGAGTTACGTGGCGCCGTTTGATAGGACCGCGATGTATAAAATTGATTTTTTACCACCGCCTTCTAGAGTAGCTCGGAGCTCTTTTGCCATGAAATCTTCCGATGAAAGTTGTATTACTAAAAGTACACTAATTCGGAACTGAGCGCACAGTAAAATGCGCAAAAAAATATTTCCGTGTTAATAAATCCGCCCGAGGATAACTGATGAGAAAATGGCGGTTCGGTAATATTGGCATAATTCTGCGAATTATTGGTATACTTCTCCAAATATTAGTCATGAAATCTTTCGATGAAGTACGTATTATTAAAGGTACGCTAATTCGGAACTGTGTACGCCGTAAAATGCGCCCTAAAAATATTTCTGTGTTAATAAATTCGCCCGAGGATAAATGAAGGGAAAATGGTGAATCGGTAATATTGGCAGAATTCTGCGTTAGTCTTGCGATCGTCCGTCGGAAATCGGAAGGCTGTAGGAGAGCAGCAATTTCCGAAAGGAAACAGCCGAATCGATACCACCGTCGTGGCTACGCGTTCTCCTTTCGATTTTTCCGGCCAGTCCTCACGGTGGCGGAAGTTCGAGGAGGGTGGAAAATGGAGGAAGGAAAAGAGCGAGAGAGAGGGAAAGAGAGAGAAGGAGGAAATTAGAGGACGGAAATTAAGCCTCGGATTTTCCGAGCGCTTTACGAGCGCACGAAACCTGGTACTGTGCGACCTCTGAGTTCTTTCCATTTTATTCCTGCCTTTCTTTCTTATTTCCAACCTTACCGAGTCGTTTCATATAACGAAGGAATTCCCGGGAAAAATGTTATCACGCGGCATTATTTTGTTAAACTCTGCTTCTCTGCGAACGTGTTACTATTGGAGAGAAATCCTGACCGAACGAGATCACCGGGAAGTGTTTAATTTATTTAAAGTAAATTTTACAAAGGTTAAAGGAAAACGCGTAATAGCGTATCACTGTCACTTATTCTTTTAAAGTAGAACTGGTTGCGGCTACATTTTTAAACCGTGCATTCTCTTTAGTTAACAAATTCACTGAAGCTAGGAGTTCTTCAGAGACCCCGGCGATCCGATAAATTGGTTTTAATTTGGTTACGCGACGATAAACAATTCCGCCGACTCTTTTTCTACCAGAACCGAGAAATGCAGCCGATCAAACAAGCCCGATACTTCGCCATTGGAACCGACAATTTCGATTCGTAGTTTCCGCGAAGCGCCGCCGCCTGTAATTGGCCAAATTGGCAATCCTGTCAATCAATCGTTAAATATCAAGGCCTTTGGGTCGAGTCCTGGGAGTTCCGGTCTGCGAATTTTTCTCGTCTCTCCGTTTAGTCGTCCCTCTCTTTCTCGCCCACGAAGCCACGGAAGAATCTCTCTTCCTCCTTCGGTCTGGGGATCCTTTCCTAAGGATTTCTATGCCGCCGAGAGCGGCGGAATAAATTTGCGGTGATTTCCGCGAAATCGAGGGGATCCCGGGATTTCGGGGAGGATATCGCGAGTTTCGTGGGCCCCTGTGGATGCTGCGAAAGGATCACTTATGTAAGTTGCCAGCGGCAGGGACTTTGTCTCGACACAGGGCCCACTCATATATGTGCCCGTATATACTCGATCGAGCTGCATTGACTTATAATGGAGCAAAATCGAAGGCCCCGTGACTCGATCTTCCACCACCGAAGATTCTCGACAATCGAATCACCCATCGATTCCGGATATTTCCAGCCGGCACCGAAATAACGGGTGCCGAAGAGTAGGAAGCCCCTGACACTTCGAAATAGAACGAAATTAATGGATTCAGGCCAGGTAAATAGCCCTGTCTGGTTTTCGCATTTTTATTCCGCTCGATATTGTTGCGCGTCGATTTCACGCGGAGGTCCGATTTGTATTTTAGGTTTTTTAACAAGACCCCAAAGTTAAGGCAGCTGTATTTTTTCCCTTCCTTTGTGAATTTTTCTCTAACGAACCGTGAGAACATCTCATCTTAGAATTTTTACAATATATTTATTAACATTTATACAGTCACTCGGAATTTTTCGAAGCAGAAATATAGATTGGAATCGACTTTACAGCTTTCGAAAGGCATATGTGTGAAAAATAATTAGGTTGACAGCTGACACGATTCCAGCTGTTCCGTTCGTCGGAAATAAAAAATGAAATGGCATTTTAATCCGTAGTCCTGTGACTACAGCTGGAACGAGGATCAAATGAAAATATTGAAAATTAAATTCTTGGCATTCTTGAAATTTTAGTTCCGGTTTTTGTCTTTTTTTCGACTTTTTAAGGTTAATGAAAAAAAAAAACTGACAGATATCACAATTATCCTAGTTCGGGGGAGAACTTTCTTTAAAATGGAGGTAACTTGCTGTCTCGAAAATTCTGACGAAGATTGAGAACAATTGTCGGATGGACTCGCGAGATTCGTACCTGCCTGCAAAGTCGAGCTGCACCTGCAGCTGCGTAAAGGTGCAGCTTATAAATGGGCGCAGCTGTGTCACGAATCACGTCTCAGCACGGACTGGCGGGCATTCGGCACCCCCAACTGCAGCAACCACCCCTGCAGGTTTGCAGGTTCACCTCGTTGAATGCAGCTCCACTTTGCCGACCTGCATTTCCCTGGACCTGCGTAGTTTGCCCATTCCTGGATAACGCTTTAAAATGACGAAGAATCGAATTAATTGTGCACAGAAACATGAACTCACGGCAGAAGTTGGCATAACTCCGGAGAAATTTCTTTCAAGCCTCGTAACAGGGTCGTATTAGTTGTAAAACTCATATCAGTTGTAAAATTATTTCTCACGTCCTGTTTACCAGGTGTCGACACTTTACAAGGGGCGCAGCGAGATATTTATTGTACTTTTATAATGGCGGCTGGAACAAGTACCACCTCGGCTGCATTACTGCTGCACCAGCTGTACCAGTTCGAGCGATAAAACAAGTTGTAGGACGAAACCGATAAAGTGAGAAACACCGTTAACTTTCTTTGTTCCTTCTACATTTTTATTTTCCGAAAATTTGATTCAAACGAAAAATGCCGTCCAGTAAATGTCCTAAGTAGTTTTGAATTTTTTGTTTCAGATCACCAGGAGGGCTTCAATCACCTGCGCCAGCAACAATTTTTTTTCTTACTGCTCTACGTTTGTAATAATAAATAAATAGATATGTATTCTTTACTAAAAAGGAAAATTTTCCTGTATTCTTCTACGTTAGACCTTTCATGGAAAAAAAAAAAGTTTGTG